TTATAGTCTTATCGGAGTTTAAAATTTGGAGTCATGTTGGAAGGACAACTTAGAAACTAGACTATTTTGGGTTTTTCTTTTATTTTGGTTCTGTGGTGTTACCCGCCTGAAATTTAAGTAGCTCATGACATGTTCAATGTCAATAATTGGGAGACAGCAATTTCCAGCAGTTTAGGCATCTGATTTTAAGCTGTTGCTGTGCAGTGTACTATGAAGACAAGTGGAGTGTTTGTCTGGTTTCATATTTCTTCTCAATGTAATATCTGCTGTAAACCAGAATTGACTAACTTTTAAAGACTTGTCCATTTGTTACATGATTGCTATCTAATTTTACTGGTGGGAGGATGTTTGAAACTTCATAATTGATCATGAAAGTTTTTGTTTGGAATTAATTCTGATCTCCATAATTCTAAATAGTTGGAGGTATGCATTTTGCTCGCTGGCAGTCCATGAGCATTTAATCGGAATAACTTTGCGTGGCCAAGTCATAACGGCTAATTTACACTGCAAGTGCCCTTTTGAAAATGTGTTTTAGAAATTCCTGATTTAACTTTTACACTGCTGAAATACCCCTATTTAATGTGGAAGTATTTAGTTTGCAGAAGGCCGAAACGGTTTACCAAATGTACCCACTGGCTGAAGTGCACTACCACACCTTTTTTATATTATGATTCACAGCAGGGTATATTGAAGAACCGCAGTGTTAAACTTTTTGTTTACAATGCTGTAAATCTAACATGCTTCACAATCAGGTAACAGGACATGGACTTTCAGTTGGAGAAGGGTTAGCAATGATTGTTGAAGACAAGATCAACAAAGTAAATACAAAGATTGAGGGAGAAATGAGAGTTGCAGTCAGGCTGAAAGATTCATGGAATGTATTTTAGAATGTGTGGTTTAACGGGACGAGGGCATCTCCACAACATGAACTGAAAATGCATGGATCAAAAATGCTACAGAGGCAAACAAGGTCAATCCCATTCACCAGTTATTGCACAAGGTTTTAAAAATTGATGTGTTGGCTTATGGATAGCAAATGGAGTGCAAATTAAGATTTGGGTGACACTTGTATGAATAAGTTGGAGTTTATGAACAATTAATAGAAAACAGTCATGCCTCTGAGGATGTCAAAGACATGTCTAGGAGGTGTAGAGTGGAAATAGAAATGGGGTCCTTTGGTAGCTTGTGTGTTTAATGTGGATTTTGACATTAACTCGAACGTTTGAGGTACATGATCCGGCTGGGTTCAGTCTCCAAGAGGAAGGAAGTTGAATCGAGATTTATTTCTGGTAAGTCTAAAAGAGGGCGTTGGCTTTGTCAATTGAAGATGGATTTTTTTCTCAAAGACTTTGTTGGATAAGTAATTGGAGGGTGGTGAATGCAAGGTTGTTTATAAATGCTTTCTATAGCTTATTTTGGTACTTCATTTGGAAAAATGTAACGCATTCAGTAGTGTTAAGTTGTAATGATGCAGGCATGCAAGTTTACTGTTGATAAAATCAATGCCATGTAAAGCAGTGGATTCAAAGGGTTTATGGTATTTAGGCACTGAAACAACTTAACTTGCTAAGCATTTAAAAATGCTGTGATGAGGTGTCTTTGTTTCAGAAATGTTGTTTCGTAATCACAACAGATTGTATTGTAGCTGCTGACTACTATTTTTTCCTCTTCCATTAGGATTGTACCACTTCTGGCTTCGAAAAGACACTAACTTCTTTATTCACTGTTTAAATGTACTTCCAATCTCTATTTCAAACAGTTTGTTGGGGTGTCCATGAAGTCTGCTACATTGCTGAAGAATATCCATCAATTTCTTCAAAGTGCACATGCTGTTTCTGTACAATCACATTCCACTGCCTACATGAGTACCAAGAGCTCAGATAATGGGTACAGTTTACCCTCATAGATTAGTGGTAATACTCCTGTAGCTTCCTCAAGTAGAATTGTTTTAACAATTAGTGAAATGAATCGTCAGTTTCTTTTGGTGCTGTGGATGCCTAGTTTGGTGAATCAATATCTCCTAAATTTCCCGCTAAAAACTGATTTCATTTCGTTCATTGCCAAGCTTCCATCATTGAGTTATTTATCAAAGTACCATCATCAAGTGTTATATCAAAGTGATTTACTTGGCTGTATCATTTTTTCAGTCTGGTCTAGTTGATGACTCGCTCTCTAATTTTGGTTCCCCAGCGAAAGGACCCATTACCCTTTTTCTTTCTTCTGTGTAGTCTCTCCTTTATTGTATCTCAATGTAGTGTTTTGTTTCAGTCTACCTTCATCAAATCACTTTAGATTGCCTGCTCTGAATTGTCACAACATCCTATTGTGTTGCAATGAATGAATTGCTGGCTGTTGAGGTCTGCTTTGCTGTCTGAGAGCAATTAAACATTTTTTTTCAATGTGAAGAAAAAAATCAGAGTTAATGTTGCGGGCCCGGTGACCCTTCCTCAGAACTCACCAGACCTGAAATGTTAACTCTGATTTTTTTTTTTTTGCTTCTTCACAAGTGCTGCCAGACCTGCTGAGCTTTTCTGGCAACTTCTGTTTTTGTTACTGATTTACAGCATCTGCAGTTCTTTCGGTTTTTGTTTTATTACAATTCTTTGTTCCTCTACGTATTGTGAGATTAATCAACAGCTGCAGCTCCTTATCCCTGATGTCTCCATCCTTAATCTCATTTATCTGTCAACATTCCCAAATGGCTACTTGGGATCTCAAATGGAATTTCCACATTTCCTCCAATGCTAAACTATTGACTTTGTTCATCAGTGCCAAGTGCTCCCTCATCTCTCTGTGCATCTGTGTCTGTCTGTCTGTGTTTCACAGAGCCAACCAGCCTGTACAAAGCCAAATTGCTTCTGAGCTTTCAATAGATAATGCCCTGTTGGGAAGCTTTAGCACCACTTCTCTTTTTTGCTACTGAATGGCTAATAACAGTTGGTTCTTAACCACCTCTGCCTCTTCTGATCTCAACCTTGTATCTCATTTTATCAGCACGCAGTGTGGATGAAGTTCCTGAATTTACCCACAATACTTCAAAGATTCTGATAGGAAAAAATGTCAGATTGCCCCAATGTATCTCCAATATGGTGAAACTGAGTAGCTCCAAAACGTTTCTAATTTATTCTGTTCCTAAATGGAAAGCTAGAAGTGTTATTTCTTTCCTTTTCCTCTTGGTGCAATTGAAGACTTTTAAATTTGGCATCACCTGGTCACTGTTCTGCTGCAGCTGATGTAATGGTTGTACAATGTAGGTATTCATGCGGCACTTTAGTTTTGTTTTAGTTTCAAGGCATCCATGGTCATCCATTTTGAATGACGGAGGCCCTTTTAACTTTTTTAGTGTTAGCTTGAATTCTTGCTTCCCATGGCATGTCAAGCATTCTTGACTTGGCATTGTTTTTAATTTGGTACCGCAAATGAATGCGACCATTTAAAAAATTGATGGCAGAACTGGAGTTTTTATAGTTCAAAGATATCGAACATTTAAGCAAGGATGTAATTGCAAATCTGTATGTAATACCACACTGGGCTCCAAATTACTGGAAGGAATTTTAATACAGCAGAATGAAGCCATGCAGATTAAGGTGCTGCCTAGTCTGAAGAAATGGAAACTTGCAAAAAGGTTGGAAGAATTCTGGCTTGCGTTGTGTTGTAACACAGATTCTAGGATTTTCTTAAACTATTCAAAGTTAAGCAAAATTGTGACAGATCATTTTGAAACGGACTGTTCCCATTGATGCTAGCTAAAGTATAAGAAACTTAGGGAAAGATGAAAAACCTTTTTGCACACAAGGCTGAGACTTTTAACTGAAACATACACTATGACAGTAATTAACAATAGGTAGTTATATGCATGCTAAGATTTAAGAAATCTTCTTCCCTGCTGTAATCAGATTCCCTGCTGTTTTCTGATAAACGGACCTCTCACATCACTTGATCTTTCTCTGCATCTTCTCTGTAGCTATTACGCTATGTTCTGCATTCTGTTCTATTACCTTGATATACTTATGTAAGGTATGATTTGTCTGGTTAGCATGCAAAATAATACTTTTCACTGTCACTACATGGCAGAAATGACTATTACGAAGGGGCATAATTTTAAGGTGATTGGAAGAAGGTATAGGGGAAATGTCAGAGGTAGGATCTTTACATAGAGTGGTGAGTGAGTGGAATTGATTGCTGGCAGTGATAGTGGAGTCAGATATATTCGGGACATTTAAGCGACTCTTGGATAGACACATAGATGATAGTAAAATGTACGGTATGCAGGGTAGTTTGATCTTAGTAGGATAATAGGTTGGCACAACATCGTGGGCCGAAGGGCCTGTACTGTTCTATGTTCTATGTGACAATAAATCAAATAAGATCAAAGTGGAATTGACATAGGGTAAAAAGCTTTTTTACAGAGGATAAACTGACTTTGGTTAGTGGGGCTTCATGGCTCCTGTCATTTCCATTGCATTTTGTCATTTTTTGCAGCTCTGCCCTGTGTCACACAGATCCCAGAGAAATGTAGGAAAGTACTATTTATACATGTGTGCGCCTTGTAAATATCGGGTACTTTTAACCAAATTGGCTTGGTTTTCCCCCCCTCGTAAATTTTAGAACAGTGGCTTTAAAGTTGCTTTGCCATTCTTTTAGATCTGTCTTTAACTTTGTATCTAAATTCCTTGCTTTGGTACTTGCACAGATTTTATATTTTCCTTACTTGAGTGCTTCACCCATTTAGTTTGGTGTTTCTTTGCTCTAAACCATTTATTTCTCCTTTTTTCTCTTCTCTGAAGCAATCTCATTCTGCTTAAGGCTGTGGATGTGCTTTTCAAGTCTCCTTTGTAACTCTAGCAGGTGAAATCACAGTATTAACTTCAGAAAATTTAGAATTCAATCAAGCCTAACATTTGCTTTTATTAATCTTGCATAAATGATCTTTCTATTTTCAAAATTACTTAAAAATAGCTTTTACTAATCTTTACTAATTTCTAACCCTTGACCCTAAGGTTGCCTGATTAGCCACCAGGCAAGAACCTCTGCAGGATTATGGATGATTATGATGTAAGATCTGCTGCTAGCATTCTAGCTTCAGTTAAAGAACAGGAGGCCCAGTTTGAGAAGTTGACCAGAGCACTCGAGGAAGAGCGTCGTAATGTTTCCATGCAACTTGAGTGTGTCACTATTCCCTCGGAAAGATCAAGTATGGACGACAATGAGTCATTTGCATGGCAGCAGCTAGTTTTACAGGTAACTTATCCTTTACTTTCGACTAGACTAATGTTTATGTACTACTTTTGTGCCAGTTAGTCCAAACAAATCTGTGCGAGAACTATTGTGACTTCTGAACATTTTCTTTGCTGCCAGTCAGAACGTGCATAACGAATGGCAGACACTGTTAGTTCTAAGCATTAAAGCTCTGAATATCAAGATGGCTGATGTAACCTGAAAATAGTCTGCACTTGCTGTGCTGCTATGAAGCGTGATGTTATTTTTTTGTAAGTGTATTTATTGCCTGTGTATTAACTTGTTTGTTTCAGTGAGCACGGTGTAGGGCAGTGTATAAATATGAAGATGAGTCATAAGCAATTTGTCTCAATCTAAATTCATTGTGTTTGGCTTCAGAATTTTTTTGATGGCATATTTGTTGTCAATCAAGAAACAATTTGGAAAACTGTCTCTCCTTGTTGTGACAGAAAATATGTTTCTTGACCCTAACTTTTTTCAGTTTTTGGTGAATTTACTACCGGTACACTGATGCCTTGTACTGAAAGTTGTCTACTATGCACAAATATAAAAACTGAACCTTTCCACCTTTTTTGTTTTTTGAAAAGTTTCTGAAGATATTGTCTGTTTCTTCAAATCTACTTGCTCAAATTTTTTTATTCCACATCTTTGCCTGTCTCTTGGGCCTAGTGACCAGGTGCATGCAAGCTTTGGTTGTGGCTGTCTTGCCTCAATGTATTTTTTTTCTCCTGTTTTTAGAATCTTGTCATAATTCGTCTGCTACTGAACATTATTTGAATAATTTTGATAGGACAGAACTTGAACATTTATTAAAGAAATATATTGTCAAAGCTTTTCATCTTGCAGTCATCAAGACCAATGAGTTTTTAAAAAAAACCTTGGAAAGGGAACACAAATTTATGCTCTATAAGATGGTGCTGATCAGTTAAACCATGGAAAAGCACTAGGAGCAGTGAAACTATTCATTGTCGTTCACTGAAGAAATTGAGATCAGATAGGTGGACTCAAGTCAAGCTGTTGCCATGGGAAATACACAGGGATTGGCAAGTTGCCATTGCAGTTTTCTTGAAAAAGATGCAATATATGGACAAATTTCTTACGTCTACCCTGTACTGTGTGTGAATATATGCAGCTTCGAGTGTGTACAAATAAGATTATTCTGTGAACCTGACTGATTTTTATCTTAAGAGATAGTAGGAACTGCAGATGCTGGAGAATCCGAGACAACAAGGTGCAGGGCTGGATGAACACAGCAGGCCAAGCAGCATCATAGGAGCAGAGAGGCTGACGTTTCGGGCCTAGACCCTTCATCAGAAAAGGGGGAGGGGAAGGGGGTTTTGAAATAAATAGGGAGAGAGTGGGAGGCGGATAGAAGAGGGATAGAGGAGAGGATAGGTGGAGAGGAAACAAACAGGTCGAAGAGGCGGGGATGGGGCCAGGAAAGGTGAGTGTAGGTAGGGAGTTAGGAAGGGGATAGGTCAGTCCAGGGAGGACAGACAGGTCAAGGGGGCGGGATGAGGTTGGTCGGTAGGAGATGGAGGTGCGGCTTGGGGTGGGAGGAGGGGATAGGTTGGAGGAAGAACAGGTTAGGGAGGCAGGTCTTAAGTTGTTTTTCAATGGAATTCATAAAATGGTTGGATTACTTCGTAAATTAGTCCAATAGCAAGATCTTTCTTCTAATGCTGTACCATTTTTAAAATTTTTAGTTTTACATTTTAGTTCTACATAGAATATCAAAGTATATAGTACAGGAACAGGTCCTTCCGCCCATGATGATATGCCAAATTGAACTAATCCCTTCTGCCTGCCCTTGGTCCATATCCCTCCATTCTTTGCATGTTCCTTGCTTATCCAAAAGTCCCTTAAATGCCCCTATTGTATCTGTCTCCACCACCGCCCCTTGCAGCATGTTTCAGACTCCGAACACTTTTTTTTTTGAAACAAAAAACTTGCTCTCGCACCTCCTTCCACTTTTTCCCCAATACTATATGAACAGGCCAATGATTTAGCAGTTGCATTAACCTGTGTTTTAGGCGATAACCCACAGTGCCACCTCTGCCATATTGAACATTGTTTTTATTTATCAATTTGTATTTCAACTAATTTGCATTTTTACCTAACTTCAGTGTGCTCGTTTCATCTAAGGAGTACAAATCAGCCCATTTAATGAATGCTAGTAATTCCCCCACAAAGATGAGCAGAATATGCTGTAAATGCTCAGATCTGGCTGCATTTATGGAGAGGCAAAAACAGCGAAAGTTTCACATCAGTAGCCTTCCACCAGAACAATTCTGATGGAAGGTCATCAACCTAAAGTTTAACTTTTTTTCTCTCCACAAATGCTGTCAGATCTGAATATTTCCAGGATTTTGTTTTGATTTCAGATTTCCAGCATCTCTGCAGTATTTTGCTCTTATACTGCAAATGCCTACCCGATCATAGGATTAGAAGGTTGAGTTTTTGCCTGCTCTAGTGCCTGTGAATTTATTACCTATTCTAGGTGATAAAGAAACTAAGGAGTAGGAGGAGTAAGCATTTGGCCAATTGAGTTGACTCTGCTATTCAACAGGTTAATAGTAGTCATCTGTCAGTGCCATTCTCCTGCTGTCTCTTGGTAACCCTTGACATCTTTAGCCTCTAGCAATCATTCAGTTTCTTTCTTCAAATTCAGTGACTTGGCCTCCCCAGCCTTCTCTGGAAGAGAATTCCACAAGTTCATCATCCTCCAAGTGAAGAAATTTCTCCTTACTTCAGTCTGAAATGGCCTGCCATGCATCCTGAGACTGTGACCCCTCATTTTGCATTCACAACCAGAGGAGACATCCCTGCAACCAGTCAGTCCAGCCCCATTTCATATTTTAAGTTTCTTTGAGCTTCCCAGTCAGTCTTCTAAGTCCAGTGAACATCGTCCTAGTCAACTCAATCTTACCTCGTGCAACAAACCTGGCATCCCAGGAACAAAAACAAAGTTGCTGGAAAAGCTCAGCAGGTCTGGCAGCATCTGTGAAGGAAGAAAGAGTTAACATTTCTGGTCCGGTGACCCTTCCTCAGAACCCAGACCCGACACGTTAACTCTGTTTTTTTTCCTTCACTGATGCTGCCAGACCAGCTGAGCTTTTCCAGCAACTTTGTTTTTGATCCTGTTTTACAGCGTCCGCAGTTCTTTCGGTTTTTACCCCAGGAATTAGTCTGGTAATAAAATTCAGTCTAGTCTGCAATTTAATTGTGAAGTTGAGGGGGAAAAAGTGATATTTTCTTTGTCTTAATAATGAATCCACAACAGTTGAGTGAAGAAAATTTCACAAATGTGTTTTGAATTTGTTGCCAACACGATTAATTCTTTAGTCTTGGTTTATGCCTGATTTGCATTTGAGAAATGGAATGAAACACTTGGACCAAGTTTAATCTTAGTTTATTTTTACCTATTATGTGGTCAAAGCAACTTTGCCTACTGAAGTAAAGTAGCTAGTTTCATTGCACAAACTGGATGCCTATATTTTGCAGTACAAATACAGAATTCCTTTTTTTGATTTCTGATTTTGTTCCTTATGTTTCTGAGTTTAATTCTGGCAACTAATTATCTCCTAAAGCATGATATTTTAAGTGCAACGTTTGGTTTATTAATTTGTTATTTTTGCTTAATATGGAAGGTATGTTCAGCAAAAAGATTCAGGCTACCATTACAAACGGAGTTTCTTCATGTTATCATGCTTGTGTGAAATGCCTTTTGATGTGTCATTGTGTTAACGCACTTCATTTTTATTTTGGAGTGCTAGTGGCATCATTATAACATACTCAGCCGCATATTTAAAAGCTGAGACAGTTATTTTACCTATTGCTGAAAATCTGCTGAGGGCCTCAAACTTAATGAAACATCCCAAGCCGCTTCAAAAGATCCTGTCAAGTACGATGCTGAACCACAAGAGATGATATTAAGTTAGCTGACCAAAAGCTTGATCAAGGAAGGGGTTTGAAAGAGTTATTTCAAAGGAGATAACAACTAGGGGGACAGTAGCCCAGTTGACTAAAGCTGCAGCTACCAGTAGTGGATCAATTAAGATCACATGTACAGGAATTGAGAATTCGTGGAGTGCAGATAACAGCGATTATGTAGCTGTAATACATTAGAGATGGGCAGGGCCAAGGCCATGGAGAGATTTGAAAACATGAATATGAATTCCAGAAATGAAATTGCTGCTTGATCAGGAACCAGTGTGGATCAGCTAGCATCAGTATCATGATGTATCAAAGCTTTAAGCAAGCTAAGACACAGGCAGCAGGTTTGGCATCTTTCAGGTTTGTGGAATGTGGTATGTAGGACACTAGTCAGGAGTTCATTAGAACAGTCGAATTCTGAGTTTTTAAAGAAATGACCAAATATTTTGGGGAGTTGGGGGCAGCAGATAAGTTGAGATTGATATGAAGTCAGGTGGTGTTAGGGAGGTAGAAATAGATGGTCTTAGTGGTGTTATGAACAGAAGGTTGAAAATGCATCTCTGCCTCAAACACAATACCATAGGATACAAGTGTAGGAGCAGAAAATAAGAGAAGAATATGCCATTTAACCCTTTTTGAGTCTGCCCTGCTATTCGCTGATCATCCTGACTCAATAGGCTGCCCGATTTTCTTTTCTCTGTTTTAGAGTTGACAGCAAAAAGTGGAGTTTTGACATTCCATATTTAGCTGGGGGATTTCTGCTCATACTGTGCTAGATGGAGAGTACGGAGATGACCATTTAGCAATGGTAGAATAGATAATTGACGTGAAGTGGAGTGTGCATGTGAAAACCATTGCTGCACTTTAGGGTAATTGAGGACCCTAAAAATGGTGTGCCCTTGATGAAAAGGGAACTTTGACTCCTGTCCATACTTTAACATTCTGATATCTTCAGAAAAGCAGATTTCGTAGTTAATACTTATCTGTTTTTATATTTATCCTAAATTAAAGGTGATTTCTTGAAATGTAAAGTAGCTTCTTGATTTCTTTTTACTGAACTGATTTTC